GAAAAGCCTTTGCATACAGAGCTGTCACAGCTCAAATGGACACTATTACTTAACTGTATGGCTTGCCGCCAGCCCTGTAGCTCTGTTTTACCTGTATGAACTGTTCGCAGCCTTCGGTAATCCGGATCTACTACTGGCGGTCGTTACGGTGCTAAACCCATAGGCCGGGTTGGGTCGTGCAACAGAGTGTATCAGAGCTGATAATCTTAACCACGATTTAACGCAACCAGCAGTGTCCAAATGAGCTAGTAGGGTGCCTAGAAAGTGATTTAGGAGCATCCTCATCGTAGCGTGTTAGTGGTGTGATTCGTATAGACTTGAATATCTGCTAATGTGTTAAAAGCTGGTGAAGCAAATGAGCTGCTTATGTTTAAAACTGTATAACTGTTATAGTGAAATCGACAATGCAAGATGAACCGAGTTCTCGTCTACCGAGCAAGAATGGAAAGAATTGAAAATGATAGAATGATAACCTAGAACTTGAACAAACAAAAGGAACCAGCCGCCTCCACCCCTCCTCCTCCGTACAGCGAACCTTAATGTTAATGTGAAATGGGGATTGGGAATTATTGCTCTTGACCAGAAGGGTTCGCAAAATGAAAACCGCCATTCCTTTCAGGAGCTTAACCGTTAAAGCTGAAGCTTGGTTCTGAACAGAAGAAACTATTTTGAGGTGTTCGCGATCTCTGAAGCGAATAAAGTACGTGTTAGCTACCTTTCCGTCCTACAAGAAGAAGCTAGCAATGTGGATGTAATCGCGTGAACAAATACTGTATGACTTGGCTCAGTTCAAGACGTCCTTCTTTGAAAAGTACTTCCTCAGTGTGTTCAGTATAGAAAGTGACTGAATTTAAAGCGAAGCAGCGGCCGAATGTGCCGTTGCAGAATATGAAGAGCCAAATTTACTGAACTGCCCGTTATCACCGCAACATGGTGGATACTGATATAAGGAAGCCGAGAAAATGATCGAAGGGTGTCCTTAAGTGGCAGATGACTTGACCGGATAAATGTTGAATTTACCGACTTTTTAGTGTTCTCGACCGTCATTATGGCCGAGTCGAACCGTTGCAGCAGTGAAACCAATCTGAAAACCCAGCCAACAAGGAATGGCATGGCTTTAAAAAGCAGGCTTCAAATTCAAGAAAGCAAGCACAACGCCACCGAATAAGAAACAGATACGGGTCGACAACTAGCCCCAGTTCAAGGAGTGGTTCAGACCACCCTGTTCCTGAGGTTGGCAAGAAGCACAAGGGGTTTGTACAGAATACTGAGCCTGCTGAAGGTGTGCAAGTGCCACATGGTAAGAGCCCCTCTGCTCCACAAGCCAGGTGGTAAAACTGAGACCAAGCGCGAGAGCAGCATCAAATGCTCCACGCGAAAGCTAACCCAAAGACGTACGGGAAGAGCCCATGAGGCAGGGGCGAGTGGTTCGCCCTATACGGGAGCTGCAAAATACCAGACCTCGGTGTTCAGTATTCTCTCTATTTGTGCACCAAAGATGCATATGTATTAATTATTCGTCTACCATCTTATGTAGTCGCATGCTTTTCAGCGGAATTAATAACCCTTAGAACCTATGAACTAGTCTGCTACCGTATCATCACCCGTAGGGATCATGACATGTGTTATATGTACCGCCGCGATGTGAAATCATTGTGGATTGCACGTTTGATTAGTGTATCCATTGAACTTGAATCATTTGACGTAATATTGGGGATGATTGGTTACAAACGCAAGCCACTCTTCTCCTGACAAGCAAGTTTTTCGCTCCACCCGCGCCCCCCCCCCGCCTCTGGCCGCTCCCGCCTTGCACGAGTGGCTAGTCCGAGTACCTCCCCCGTATTTAATCCTCATCTCACCTATCCTCCTTTTT